TCTAAAAATGGGGATCCCAGATTTCCTCAAACTTGCACAGTTGTACCCTGTGGAAGGTGATCCTTCCTTTGGATGGTAGGTTAAGATACCATCTATACCACATACTGCTGCTGTCTACAATAGTCTTATTGTAGGGATGGGAGCAGAGAAAAAGGATCATGTGTCAGGAGGGACCTAGTTTGGTGTGACACCTGAGGTGGGATGGCAAAAGCTTCCTAAAAATGGAGGGGCCCAGTGAAACCTGAAGCCTAGCCCAGCTCACTCACTCTGGCCCTTCCCTCTAGGCCCCACACTGGAACTCTCTGTTCTCCCAAAGTCCCTGCCCTCATCCCCTCCCTTCTCTTGAGACCCTGAGGCCCCACCCCCATGATGCCTTTTCACCCCAAGAACTTGTCCCTCCATCCATCACTCAAACTTATGTCCAGTAAAAGTGGAAGGACTATGCCTTTAACCATGGGGAAGTTCATGGCTCCGACTCCCCTGTTTCGGTGCCCCCTGACCAGAGGCAAGGATCAGAATCTGGTGGACATCTGCTATGAGAAAGGGGACTAACAGAATTGCCAGGCACCTGGGCCAGGTGGGGGGTGGGGGGGACTGGCTCTGTGCTCCCAGAAGAGGCGGGGCCTTGGACAGAAGGGGTGGGGCTGAGGTTAGCCATACACACCCCTAACACAAGCTCTTCAATGCTGCCTGGAGCACACTGTGCAGGGTTCTGGTGTCAATGTAAAGGCCCCAGGACTCTGGCCACCACTGCAGCTGCACTAGTGGCAGCGGCAGACAAGAGCTTGGGGTCCTTTTGAATCACCGTTCCCCAGGGCAATTGCCCCATTCTCTCCCTTCCCCTCACCCCCCAGGTGGACCTGGCTTTGGTGGAAACAGAGGCCTCTCAGTACACATTTTTGCCTTGTATGCACACTCAGTAAAGATCAATTTCCTACAATTCTGGCCATTTGTTGTATCACGTATTTCTAACAGAATGCTTAGATTATGTACTTGTCATTTATTAATCACTTATGAGTGGACCCTTCATATGAAGTGTGAGCCAATGGGTTATTGGACTATTACAGTATCATTTGTAGTTTTGTGGTACTTAGCCATAGTGGATTTTTTTCATGATACACATGGAAGTAAAATGGAAAGCACTGGAAGCCTGAATCCTTGTTACAAAGTCTGCACTTGAAACAACTTTCGATATTAATGTTTCTGTTCCTGTGGAGCCAATCTGCAGTCATGTGTAAAGAACAAATCTTGGTCCTCTTGAGCAGAAACAAAACTGTTGTTCAGAATCTTTTGTGATGCAACGTTTGTTGATCTAACGAAGCACACAAGGGGCATCTTTCAAATACAAGTGTGCCTTTAGCAGGAAATATTCTAGATGCCAGCATTTCTGGTCCATTATCAGGACTTTGTAGAGAGGAGGCTGCATTAGAGATTCAGCTATTTTAATTTTGCAATGAGTTAGACTTGATGCCTTTGATGTATTGTATATCAATAAGACCTGTAGTGGAGACCTTCTGATTTGATGAATAAGAAATGGAAATTCTGGTGCATAATTATCACAGTAATGTGCTTTTTTTCCTGCAGTTTCATAAGATTTTTCCATTATGCTTGCAACAATGAACCCAAAATCACTCACAGGTCACAAAACGCAGCAGTAAATCTGCCTTGTTGGAAGTAATTAAAACTAGAGCTGTAATTACAGATAGAGTTCACCAACATATGTGAGAAAAGACTCAGATTATCAGTGTTCTAGACTCATTTCTAATGATAATGTATATCAGGCTACCGAGTCAGACTAACAAAGGTATTTAGGTGCCTCAAAACACACATAGAGACCTACTAGGATTTAACCAGATTAAGAGTATAACTCCCATTGTAGTCAAAAAGTTCAGAAATTTTGTAAATCCCACAACGCAGTATCCATCTCTCCAAGTAGCTAAATACCTTTGTTAAATGTGGCTTGTCACAACCATCTGATAATTGTTTCTTAGCTTGCGGGAAAACACCATTATAGAACACAATGTTGGTGCAAACATTGCCCTTAAAATCAGCCCAGAAAAGGGGATGAAAAATTAAAATTGCCATTTAAGAGTTTGATGGTCTCAGTCCAATTCCTCAGGAACAAGCATCCACACTGCAAAATGCATCACCATAACTGGCACTTTCAGTCAGTCGCCTTTTTATAAGGCATCACTACACAATTTAAGCTTCTTGTGAGTACTCTCATCGCACTCTCTTACCCCCTCTAGAGTCAACTCAAAGGCACGTTGTCAAGGCTATGAGGGGAAGTTTGTACAGTTCCCACCCCTAATGCACTTCTTCTGTTCAAGTGAAATCCTGTTTTGAGGGCTTACGTAATGCATAGGCTTTGTGCTGGCACTCTGACTCAGGGCAGTACAAGAAACTGACTGAACACAAGATTTCAGTCTCCAGCTCTATCAATCAAGAATCTTCCACCAGGTTTGAAATTTCAAACAAGAAATCAGTGAAGAATTGCTCTAACTTCTTACAGGACAATGGGGCAAAGTGCTTCTTATTATTATCCCCAACTTGAGTAAAATCTTAGAGCCACCACTCCCGTCAGGAAAGAATTCATAGGGTACATTTAGACCTTTGGCTGACCTTACCCAACCACATTGTTGTCACTGTAAACAGCACATGACTTTCTTCCCAGCTCAGAGACAAAGCACTTACTTTTTTGTGAATTATTCACAGACATTTATTCAGACCTTCATCACAATAATGTAAACTTGATTATTGCATTGCATTTTATGTAGCCATATATCCTCCTTGGAGGGTTCTGGATACAGCAATTAGATTTCCTACATCAGTCAAATTTGTTGTTGACTCCTTTGCTGTATTCACTGCAAGGGTTTCTAGTACATTATCAAGTCAATTTTAAAGAGCCGCTGATACCTTTTGGAAACCTTTGAAAAATGTCCTATTCTGAAACAATTCTGCCTCTGTGTGATGTATGTTGTATATTTTTCTCCCTTCAGTCTCAACATTTGCATGAAAAATAGCAACATCTTTCCTCAAAAAGTTCATCCACTCCTGCTGCTATTTCTTTTCTTACACCTGAACTCATAATCCTCCTTTTCTGCCAGTACAACTGGATGCTGTGAAAATTATTATTGTATCAACTAGGAGAAGAAAATAGAAGAACTGGTGAGGTCTTAAGAACACAATGTTAGTGTGAACATTGCCCAGAAAAGGGGATGAAAAATTAAAATTGCCATTTAAGAGTAGAGGCAAACCCCTACATTTTTGTCACATTTGCTAGTAGTTCTCTGATTGTCAGAGCTACTGAAATACTCAAAATTAATCTTAAAAAAAATCTTAAGGATGCATTCATTTGCAACGTATCAAAGATGCACTGGAGAAAAATAACCAGTTTTCTATTGTATTTGAATGCTGGGTTCAACTCCACTGGCAGATAGAAGTGTAGAATTCCCTTCAAAGTCACTGGGTAGTGCATCCGTGTGTCTGAGGGTACAAGAGGGCACCAGAGGAATCCATTTACCACACCCTTTCAATTATTTAAGAAAATACATGTGTGCAAATGGAATTAATTCTCAATAGTCTCTTGTTTATCTTCTCATATTTAATCTGGCAAATTATGTTTTGCAGGAGCTTTTATTAGAGATTGGCTTAATCTAAATTTTCTTTCACTATCCAGCCCTACCCCCTGCTCCACCTGTGCAGTATAATAGTCAATATCTGATAACTGACATGGAGTTTCAGTCAGGGGTGCCATTTAAGGGGGGAGCTAAGGGGCTGCATCTCTCCCCGCCCCCCTACATTTTCTACCACAGCAGAATACTTTCTCCTTCCTCCCCTCTATCCAGGAGTGAGAGCAATGCAGGCAGCTCTTTGTTTACTCCTGCCCCCCACCCCTTTAGCTCGCTGGAGTGAAAAGAAGTCAGGCTCATCAAGCCTGGGTCTTTGGTTGCTTGAAGAGCCTTTTTTCCCAGCCCATGCAAACTGTTGCTTGTGCCTGGTGGAAATCAGGAGCAGCTGGGTTAGAATCAGAGCTCCATGGGGTGCCATTATTGGCAAGAGCAGAACTGCAGCAGCAAATGCAAAACACAAAAGTGAGAAGTCAGCAAACTGCTTGCTTGCATCCCTTGGCTCTCCCCTCTCCAGCCAGCCAACAGCAATATAGATAGCTTTTCCTCTACAGGCTCTCACCACACCTCCCAGGCTCAGCCACAGGCATTGAAAAGCTAGTTCACTCCTCCTCTCACGTCCTTGATGGCTATTCTTTGCTCTACCAACAGGAATGCAGAGGTGTATCTGGCAGATCCAATAGCAGAGCTGGGAACTTCTGCAGCACCTTTTTCAAATTCATTGAAACAAGCAGACTAAGGGAGCAGTGCGTGGGAGGGGGCTCAGAAGATGATGGCTGCAGATTTCATCATGATCTTCCCTCATCTTCACAGGTTGCTATGTTACAAAGGCTGGGAAGAATAAGCACTTTTGTAACGCCAGTAGATACAGAGCTGCTCAGGCAGGGGAGGGAGCTGCTGTGCCAGGCACATTCAATTAGCTCTGCTTTGGATGTTTCAGCGCTTCACTGCAAGAACAGCAGAGCTAAAGAATGCCCACCTGGGATCGTTCCCCACTGTCAAATAACAAAACATGAGCTGTCACATCACAAGCGTTGCTTAAATTACACTTAAAACTTTCTCATTTTTCCCAGCTTTCCAATTTTGGGGGAAATGGCAATACCCCAAGGTGGCCACCTATTCTTCCATTTAGTCTCACTTGTCTATGAGAGGCTTTCCTTTGACTACAATGAGCTTTGGGGGAGGTTACTCGGTAGGGACACACAGGCTTTTGTATACAAACATTGATTTCTCAGTAGGGTGGCAATTGCACTTTTTCATTCTAGGACTTTTTTCCCAGGACACCTTTTAAGGAGCTGCTGGTGGTTTTACATATGCAGATAAAAACAAATGCTGTCTGAAGCAGCCAGCCATTTTATAGCTGTGTGTCTGCTGTGCTATAGGTCCCCCTTCTCTTCCAACTGGTAAGTCATCTTAGCTCCTGTTTACTTACTCTTTAATGTTTCTGAGGGTGGCAGAGTCTCACAAACTTGAGTACCTTCAGTGAATGTCAGGGAGGTGATGTCTATACTCTCACATCCTTTGAGCAACATACTAGGAACCTCCTTCCAATCTGGAGTGTGGTTTGCTTTTCAGCAATTTATTTACTTTTGAACATTCTTGGAAGACATTAACTCTCTCATTCTCCTCTTCACAATTTGGACCATAAAACATTTTAAAATAATAATTGCAAGTCTAAGCAGATTTTATGCAGATTTTATTTATCTCTACTAAAGATTGTGTGCAAAGTGTCAAACTGGTGGTAAGGCTGACACCTCAAGATTTGGGATTAAAAATATCTTGCTGTTGATTTTTCTAAATATACAACTAGACTTAAAACAGGGCTTTCATTGGAATGTTATATTTGTTATGTATATAAGAATTAAGAACAATGTTCCTGTCAGTCAATTTCTAAGTTATCACATGCAAAAAAAATTGTTTTCAGATGCCCAAGTAGCCTCCGGAATGGGATTCCAGGGTTCAAAAAAGAGCTAGATAGATCATGGGGTAAATGAATCCATCAATGGCTATTAGCCAGAATGGGCAGGAATGGTATCCCTGGCCTCTGTTTCTCTGGAGGTAGGTGATAGGGGAAGAATCACATGAGGATTACCTGTTGTATCTGGTATTGGCCACTGTCAGCAGACAGGGTACTGGGCTAGATGGATTTTTGGACTGACTCAGCATGGCCGTTCTTATGTTCTTAAGGCTGCCTCCTTACCAGAATCTGAAATAGTGCCCCTGTCTGCAGCTCAGGCCAATGTAGCTACACACCTACATACCTATGTATTCATAAAGCCTTAATAACATAGTATCAACTCTACTTCACAGTGACTGGCGGAACATCTAACTTTCTGTACTACAGAGAGGTCTTTGGAGTTCTGAAGGCCCAGATTCATATATGATGTTCCTACTCTCAAGCTCTCTCTCCTGATAATTTCCTCGGAAATCATTACCCTTTCCATGTGCTTTCCAGAAAAAAATAAAAAGGTTTTGGCTTTGAATTAATTGTACTCCTACATGATCCAGATTCTGGCCTCAGAATTTTACCATCAGTACTGGGCAAATTAGTTGAAACAATAGTAAAGAATAAAATTGTCGGACACATAAAAGAACATAATTTGTTGGGCAAAATTCAACATGGTTTCTGTAAAGGGAAATCATGTCTTACTAATCTATTAGAGTTCTCTGAAAGGGTCAACAAACATGTGTACAAGGGGGATCCAGTAGATATAGTGTACTCAGATTTCCAGAAAGCCTTTGACACGGTCCCTCACCAAAGGCTCTTATGTAAATTAAGTTGTCATAGGATAAGAGGGACAATCCTTTCATGGATTGAGAACTGGGTTAAAAGACAGGAAACAAAGGGGTAGGAATAAATGGTAAATTTTCAGAATGAAGAGGGGTAACTAGTGGTATTCCCCAAGGGTCAGTCTTAGGACCAATCCTATTCAACTTATTCATAAATGATCTGGAGAAAGGGGTAAACAATGAGGTGGCATACTTTGCAGACCGTCTTTACTACCTTGAGCAGTTTAGTATCAAAGCAGACTGTGAAGAACTTCAAAAAGATCTAAAAAAACTAAGTGATTGGGCAACAAAATGGCAAATTAAATTTAATGTGGATAAATGTAAAGTAATGCACAATGGAAAAAATAACCCCAACTATACATACAATATGATGGGGGCTGATTTAGCTAAAACTAATCAGGAAAGAGATATTGGAGACATTGTGGATAGTTCTCTGAAGACATCCATGCAGTGTGCAGCGGCAGTCAAAAAAGCAAACAAGATGTTAGAAATCATTAAAAAAGGGATAGAGAATAAGATGGAAAATATCTTATTGCCCTCATATAAATCCATGGTATACCCACATCTTGAATACTGTGTACAGATGTGGTCTCCTCATCTCAAAAAAGATACACTGGCATTAGAAAAGGTTCAGAGAAGGGTAACTATATTGATTTGGGGTTTGGAACAGGTCCCTATATGAAAAGAGATTAAAAAGACTTGAACTTTTCAGCTTAGAAAAGAGGGTGATATGATAGAGGTCTATAATATCATGATAGGTGTGGAGAAAATGAATAAGGAAAAGTTATTTACTTGTTCCCATAATATAAGAACTAGGGGGCACTAAATTAAATTAATGGGCAGCAAGTTGAAAACATATAAAAGGAAGTTCTTCACACAGCACACAGTCAACCTGTGGAACTCCTTGCCTAAAGAGGTTGTGAAGACTATGACTATAACAGAGTTTAAAAGAGAACTAAATAAATTAATGGAGGTTAAGTCCATTAATGGCTATTAGCCAGGATGGGTAAGGAATGGTGTCCCTAGCCTCTGTTTGTCAGAGGGTGAAGATGAATGGCAGGAGAGAGATCACTTGATCATTACATGTTCGGTTCACTCCCTCTGGGGCACCTGGCATTGACCTCTGTTGGCAGACAGGATACTGGACTGGATGGACCTTTGGTCTGCTCCAGTATAGCCATTCTTATGTTCATTCTTTTAGTCCTTCATAGCTTATGTTTTCTAGATCTTTAATCATTGTGCTCTTCTCTGGACCTTCTCCAATTTCTCCACATCTTTCTTGAAAGTGGAGTACTTTGCATTTGTATGTATTAAACTTCATCCGATTTACCTCACACCATTTCTCCAGTTTTTCCAGGTCATTTTGAATTTTGACCCTATTTTCCAAAGAACTTGCAACTCCCCCCAGCTTGGTATCATCTACAAACTTAATAATTACACTCTCTATGCCATCATATAAATCATTGATGAAGATATTGAACATAACCAGTCCCAAAACAGACCCCTGAGATATCCCACTTGTTATGCCCTTCCAGCAGGATTGTGAACTGTTAATAACTACTCTGATAATGGTTATCGAGTTACTTATGCACCCACCTTATAGTAGCCCCAGCTACGCTGTATTTCCCTAGTTTATTGACAAAAATGTCATGTGAGACTGTGTCAAATGCCTTACTAAAGTCTAGGTATTCCACATCCACCACTTCTCCCTTATCCACAAAGCTTGATATTCTGTCAGAAATCTATCAGATTGATTTGTTCTTTATAGACCCATGCTGACTATTACCTATCACCTTATTATCTTTCAGATGTTTGCAGATGAGTTCCTTAGTTACTTTCTCCATTATCTTCCCAGCACAGAAGGTAAAGTGACTGGTCTGTAGTTTCCTGAGTTGTTCTTATTTCCTTTTTTATAGAGGGCACTATATTTGCTCTTTTCCAGTCTTCTCGAATCTCTCCCATCTTCCATGATTTTTCAAAGATGATAGCTAAAGGCTCAGATACCTCCTTGAGTATTCTAGGATGCATTTCATCAGGCCCTGGTGACTTGCAGACCTCTAACTTTTTTAAGTGATTTTTAACTTGTTCTTTTTTTATTTTATCTTCTAAACCTACCCTCTTCCCACTAGCATTCACTACGTTAGGCATCCGGTCATAATCAAACTTCTTTGTAAAAACCGAAATTCATTAAGCACCTCTGCCATTTCCAAGTTTCCTGTTTTTGTTTCTCTCTCTTCACTGAGCAATGGGCCTGTTTTGTCCTTGATCTTCCTCTTGATTCTAATGTATTTGTAGAATATCTTCTTGTTATCCTTTATATCTCTAGCTAGACTGAGCTCATTTTGTGCTTTGCCTTTCTAATCTTGCCCCTGCTAGAAAGAACGAAAGAAACTCTGAATTTGCAGAAGCATCTCTAGTTAATCGGCTGTACCCTTGTTTCTCAGGAGGAACTAGCTCCTGAATTCCACGTTTGCTGCTCCCTTCATACCCTCTTGTCTGAACTACTATAATAGTTTGATTATTCCTTTCAGTATAGCTGACAAAAACATCCATCATTTTAACTAAATGTTTTATAAAGTTAAGTTGAGCTTTCAAGAGCTGGCCATTTTCATGAAATATGTTATTATTCATAATGGCTTTAAACAGAATCTATTTTCCCCGAATGCCTGAACGCAAGAGGAGTGCTCTTTCATCTTCTGGTGTTTGCCCATTTTATTTTTATATATGAGGTGGGTTGTATTCATCCAAGCAGCTCTGTACAAAATGACAGATCCACAGAACTACAAACCTGATTTACTCAAAAAAGTCAGTCTCCCAGGCACCTGCAATATGTGAACAGTGAAGGCTGAAGGGTGGGGAGAACAGGGGCAGAAATTGGGTCACTGGAAAAATTCCTAGAATGTGAATAGAATGAAAACAGAGGGAAAACAGAATGATAGCATGGATCTGATTGCCTCTGCAGATTTCTACATGAAACAGCTATCCCCTTGAATGAGATTTCCGTGCATGCACCTGTTGTAATGATTAGGTCTTTGTCTTATATAGATACATAATGTTAATATTGCTGTACTATTTATCATGAATTCATTCATCTGCACAACAGTTCTCCCCATTCTGTAGATGGAATGACTGAGGCCCTGACCATGGGAAGCCCAAACTCTGGCATCACTACCTATGGCTGGATCACCCCACATCAAGGGATCCTTGAGTGGTGTGGAGCATAATGATTTCCACATCACAGGGGGTATGGCCAAGTTAAAAATATGGCCAGGATTTCCTTATACACCGACAATTTTTAGCAACCACACTGGCTCCTGGGGGCAATTAGCAACCAGCATCACTCAGAGCAGCTCTCAGGCCCAGAAGCACCCTTTCTTCTGATTTGCATCATGTCTCTCAGACACATCTAGTGACTGGGACCTTATTCCTCAAAGTGAGTATCCTCCACTTGCCTCAGATTTTTTTTTTAAACTTTTCTCTCCTCGCAGGACAATTCGAGAGAGATCTTCAAGGAGAACCTTCAGCCGTTCTGTTGAGAAGATTTTGGCTTAAGATGCTTACCACTTGGAGCATCTCGAGTAGAATAAGCTCTGTTGGGTAGGTAACACTCGTGTTATGCCAAAATCAAAAATGCAGTAAGTGGAGGATGCAGACAAGATGCCAAGGTTGGGCTGTTGAAGGGAACCTATGGGAGCAAACCCCATTGAAATTCAATGGGAATCAGACACCTAAATCTTAGGTGACTCAGAAAATCCCATCCTAGACCTGTCTTCTCTACAAAACCATCCCTACAAGCTCTCTCTATTGACATGAGCAGAGGGCCAGGTTCTGATCTCAATTACCCCAATGGAAATCCAGTTAATTCAACTGGCTTTCCTTCAGTAGCCTGGGTCACCACATAGACTCATAGACTCATAGAATACTAGGACTGGAAGGGACCTCAAGAGGTCATCGCGTCCAGTCCACTGCCTTCATGGCAAGACCACATACTGTCTAGACCATCCCTGATAGACATTTATCTAACCTACTCTTAAATACCTCCAGAGATGGGGATTCCACAACCTCCCTTGGCAATTTATCCCAGTGTTTGACCACTCTGACAGTTAGGAACTTTTTCCTAACGTCCAACCTAAACCTCCCTTGCTACAGTTTAAGCCCATTGCTTCTTGTTCTATCTTCAGAGGCCAAGATGAACAAGTTTTCTCCCTCCTCCTTATGACACCCTTTTAGATACCTGAAAACTGCTATCATGTCCCCTCTCAGTCTTCTCTTTTCTATACTAAACAAACCCAATTCTTTCCGCCTTCCTTCATAGGTCATGTTCTCTAGACCTTTAATCATTCTTGTTGCTCTTCTCTGGACCCTCTCCAATTTCTCCACATCTTTCTTGAAGTATATGTGAGATCGGGATTTGATCCATGGAGAAAATCTCTCTTCTACCCCACACACCAAAGTTTGCCTTACCCTTTCTGTTTTATTATTAATACAATAAACACAAAGCCAGAAAAGATACCTTCAGGAAAATCAATGCTTTTAAGATAAAACTTCAAGGTAATTCAAACACCCTGAGTCAACTGCCTGTAGTAAATTAAGTTTACAATTTTAACAAACTGTCATGTAAAACTGGCAGTGTCTGACAAATTGAATTACCATAGTAATATATCACTCACAAAAGTATTATTGATAGTGACAGGAAGATATTGAATTTAAATTATTCATTTTTTATTGATTAAATAGCACATCTTTACCATGAATGCAGAAAAACATCTGACAAACATTTTAGACTCACATTTTAGCTCCGGGAATAAGCAGTAGTCCACCCTCCTGCGCTTTTGCAACTTTTTATATGGTAGAGCCAGTAACCATTATGCTTCATACATTTGGACCCATTCAGCCCAACTTGGTGGAGATCTGTGTTGCAGTTGGTATCTGTCACTGAAAAAAGACATTTTTAAAATTACTTAGAGCTTAGTATATTTTAGCGGTATTTATTGGTGAACAGATAGCTTTCACAGCCATTTTAAGAAAACCACAGCCCATGTCCACATCTGAAGTTTAACCCACAACCACTGACCATGGGAAGCACTAGGACACTTCTGCATGTATTTGGGCCCCTTGATTTACCCCTTGTAGGGCAGGGGTTCTTAAGCTCCATTGTACCGCAACCCCTTCTGACAAAAAGTTACTATGTGTTCCTGGGAAGGCCTGACTCCTGAGTCCTGCCACACACAGCCTGAGCCCCAGTGTCTTGAGTGGGGGAAAGGGAAAAGCTCAGGTATCATGTTCAGCCCTGGTCCCAGGAAGTCTAATGTTGGCCCTGGTGACTCCATTATTATGGGGTTGCAGCCCACTTTGGGGGTGAGATGCTGAGTCTGAGAACCACTGCTGTAGGGGAACTGCAGGTGAAGGATGTATTTGCAAGTCCCTTGCTACACCTGTAACTTGTGCAGGTAATGTGGCCCCGTTTACTTCAATCACTGCCGGCAATAAAAAGAGGTCATTGCTTTCTTCATTGACTCGTGTCTTCATTCCTCCCAGAGAGGGAAAGTATTTTATAGAATGTGAAAGGGGTAGGTAAAGCTCCACATGGTTGTAGACTTCTCTCCTGGGAATGGGCTTATCTTGTCTTACAATTTACTTATCCCCATCTCCTACTGTCAACATTTCCAAATAGACAAATCCCTCAGCAGCTCCCCTAAAAAAATCACCTCAGACATACTGAATATTTCAGTTTCCTTAGGAAATATTGCCACATGATGTATGTTCCAACAACAACAATCAGAAAACAGAAAGCCTGGAAAATCTTAAAAAGCACATGCACTTTTTGACCTTCTGACTCAGATCTGTTCAGCATGAACAAGAACACTTCCTATGAAGAGATGGGGTTTGGTTTTTATTATTATTATTATTATTATGTTAGTTCCCTACAGATTTCTTACTCATCTCCTTCCTCCTCCTCCCCCATCTTTATCATTACAGCATTGAACACCATATGACAGGAATGCAATATACTACCTATACACACCAATGAAGAGAAAATTTTGTTGCAAAATAAAACTCAACAAAGGCATCCAAAACAAATCAAGAATCTGTTAATAGCCTAAGGAACAATGATTCTTCTGCTGGGATTTGTGAAATGTTGGCAGGTTTCTTCTTTCACTGAAACTGCATTTGTATCTCTGACTGTCCTTCTGTATAATATTCATCAGAGATTTTCACTCCTGCAAGCATGTAACGAACAACATAACACCAAGTACTAATGTACTGCAAGAGAAAAATACCAAGCTATGGTTCAGAATATTTTTATATTAATAAGAATTTAAAAAAAAAGATGGTAGAAAGGAAGATATGAACCAGGTAACATTTGTTGTATAGACATTCTTCATAAATAATGGAAAACAACAGTGTAGCTCTGGTATACAAATGAGATATTAACAATTTTGTGAGAGAGAACTGGGATTGCTTTGTATTTGAAATTCAACCATGAGGACTGAAACCATGTTGTCAGATAAGTGTATTACATTCATAAAACTACACAGTTTGTGTGTATGTAACATGTCTACTGAATATATTTGTCTGTATGATAAAATGTCCAATAACTTCTGCAAATTATCATTATATATTTCAAATTATTAATGTGAAACTTAGTTGTTTTTAATAAAATGCTTCAGATAAGAACTGATGAATTTATATGACATGTCTAGATAACAATGCAATGATGCCCATGGGATGCACCATGAGGCTCCAAAACCCTTATCACATACCTACCAATCAATCATAAAATTACCCTGCCCTTTAAAAGACATCTAGCTTACTTTTTAATTCAACTGTGTGCAGAAATAAATATGAATAAATTATAATAATCATTTTCATTTTTACTGAGACAGAGTATCAGAATCATTCTACAACTCCTAGTTCGACTTTACAACATCCTGGTGAGGTGGGTTCTGCTCTCCCCATTCTACAGATGGAGGAATCCCAGGCACAAGCAGTTAATTAACTTGCTCTTGGTCATGCAGCAATCATGTAACAAAGCCAATAATAGAACACTATGACAGGATGGATTAGGCCCCAAAGTCCCCTGCTGGAAAATTGTGGCCTTGCCACACCCTACTGCAGGAAAAGAGCAGAAGAGAAGTCCTCCAGGTGGACTAGAGTAGCTGTTTCCACTGCAGCCAATCAGGGTCCAGAAAACCAGTATAAAGAAGCTGCTGAGTCAGGGCCAGTCAGTACTTCTTGGGAGCTCAAGCTAGGTAGACTCACAGACAGATTAAGTAGCAGTACCTTGCACAGGTCAGTGTGGAGAGCAGGTTGCAGACCTATCTGAAGACCAGGTGTGGCAAGTAGGAAGAATCCAGAACCCTGGACAGGGAACTGCTGGGACTCTGAAGCAAAGCCCTAAGGTGAAGGCAATAACAGTGTAGACCCATGGGCAAGTGTCCCAGGGAGTGAGAATAGCAGTGAAACCTTAAGGACTGGCAACTGCTCTTTACAGGGTCCCTGGGACCAGAGGAGTAGGAAGGGCAGGAAGAAGCCCAGACCTAAACAGCCTAGAAGAAGGGACATCTGGATACCATCCTAATCCTCCTGGCTCTGGCAGTGGAGTTTGTAGACACATGGCTTTGGCCAGAGGGGTCTCTCAAGAGGGTGAACCCTTTACAAACACAATTATGTGCATTTACCACTAGATCATGCTTTCTCCCATAGTTAATTTCACCCTCCTCCCCCTCCATAAACTTTTCCTCTATAGCACTACCAGGTGGAAAAGAAGAGTTAATATCACTGTTATGATGCCACTGAAATAATATTATTGCAGAGTTAAAAAGGGGGTATCACCTTTTTTTATTCCCTCCCAGTGTGTGCAGAATAACACGGTAAAAGTAATATATCTCTATTACAGTAAGGATCTACAAAGTTAACAATCAAACTTGTTTGGCTGCTAGGGTGATGTACATTTTTCCAGTAAAAAAAAAAAACTCTTCACCTGCCTCCAGATGACATTTTTATTTCTTTTATATTAAGAAAAAGTGCCTTTGTTACAAGAAAGTTCAGACTGCTACCCAGATTATCTCTGTCTACTTGAAATAAAAAGGAATTTGTTTTATATACTTGACCTTTGATAGGCTACTATACAATAAATCCTTTTCATTTCCTTCTCCCTACTGTGAGCGTCTATTCAGGCTAGCCTAATATAGCACCAATTGTCAGCTCTAAGTAATTTCAGCAAAAGAAACCATGGACAATTAGTTTGCTTCTAGTATAGCTCTGACCTTGTTTAAAAGCCCTCTGTGATTCACCAGAAAAATACTTAAAATAAGGAAAATTCAATGTTCGAATGATTCACAGCCACTCCAGCATGGAACTGTGTATTCAAAACATTTTCAAAAGCCCTTAACACTACAGGGGCACTTTTGCACCGTAAATCTAGCTGCATTGCCTGTTCCTTGCAACTACTCATTGCAACTGCATCCTAGCCACCCAGTGCAAGGATTCTGAAGCACGAAACCAACAGAAGGTTCTTGGCCCCAGGGTCCACCACTCTCCCTTAATGCTCCTGGCTTTCCAAAGTAACTTACAAAGTTTATGCTATATGCCTCTCTATAAGAGGCTGTAGAGATGTCCAGGGACTGAAGTGATAGCAGAACATTAATATCTTGAGGCAAGGTTTCCAATTAACCCAATGAAAGCCTAGTGGCTAATTTCTCTTTTTTATTCTGCACATCAGGGATGAAATCCTACTCCCTTTGGTACCAATGGGAGTTTTGCCATTCACTGAAATGTAGCAGGGTTTCATCCCAGTTTTCTTTATGCCTGTTTTTAATTGTCTAATACCCCATACTCCCAATTACGTCAATAGGGATCAGCTCAGCTGATCATCGGCACAGCACGCGAGTCTAGACGCGGATTGGTCGACAAGGGAAGCCTTTGTCAACTGCTCCTGTAAACGTTGTTTCACGAGGAATAAGGGAGCGGTTGACAAAGGCTTTTCCCTTGTCGACTGATCCGCGTCTTGACTCACACACTGTGTCAACGATCAGCTGAGCCGGCATAGCGCGGCGACCATTTTTATTTTAATGAAGCCAGGGATATTTAAATCCCCACTTCATTGACTATGTCGGGTAGCCTATTTTACATGCCTCTGTCGGCAGAGACATGTAATCTAGACATACCCTAAAAGACCAGGAGTTTGCAAACAAGTATTCCATTTTGTTTCTTGTTCCTTTCACTGTTCTTTTTAAAACTTTGTTTTTATTCCCATTCCACTGAATGTTCAACTAGTCTTGACTTTGCCTAGATTTAAAAAGCATAGGCAATTCAACCTCACAAGATCCTCAAAAGCTAGGAAAGTGTTATTCTGTTCCGACTCCCAGCTTTAGAGAGCTTTAAAAATTCAGTACCAAAGTGCGGAAATTCCAAATTTAAGGTCATATGTGCCACTGTAACTCTACCCCTTTAAATGTATGCATTAGGATACAGCAGGACTGGGGAACCTTTCTTGGGTCAGGGTACACTGACCAGCAGAAAAAAATCAGTTGGGGAGGCTGCACACAAGTAAGAAGTAGGGGGACTGGAGCACTAGCTCAAGCTCCCCAATGCTGGAGGGGGGACCCTGAGCCTCAGGGGCCAGAATCAGGCAAGCCAAGGATCACATCCAGCCCCCGGGCTTTAGGTTCCCGCCCCGGGATACAGTCTTTAATTACATGATCACAGTCTTTAATTACATGATCACACACTGTTTTTGAAAGGATCCTCCTATTTCAAACGCAAGTTAGACTCTGTCCAGTGAATAAGGCAATTTGATATTTATACTTATCACAGCTGTTTAATGTGCAACTCCTGCTTTATTCGCAACACGCTGTTCGATTCCCATAATAGATGAGTCACATACTTCTACCTCATTGATAATCCAGACTTCTCAGTGAATGATGACGGGGTCTTTCAGGAAAAAAAAATAGCATCAGATCATGTAATTAAAGACGACATGCATGCGTGCAAAAGGACGGAATTAAGATTGTAAAACTGGGGGGAAGTGGTTAGTGCTTCATATTGCAGCCCATATTTCTTTCACTGACTTTGTACGGAATTTCCTACATTTAAGTATATATGAAGTTACACAGTAAAAAATTTGCCCGGCATCTCTGCCTGGATCCTTAACTCAATATTTTCTTTTGGGAAAATAAAATGAAAATATACATGCTTCATTTAAATCTGGGGATGAGGGGTTCAGGATGTGGGCTGCCTGAAGGAGAGAAGACTACCCCAGCCCTCTCTCACCGCAGCAGCATGGGGCCAGATAAGAAGTGCTTGTCCATGGCCACTTCAGTTCCAGCAGGCACAGCCGGCAGACGGATGCATGTCCCCCAGCTGGGGCAGGTCCAGATTTGTCTGCCTCCTGTACTCCCCAGCCACAGTAAGGAATGCAGCATGTGCACTTTCCCCTCGCTCCCTGTCAGAGGGAAACAGCCAGCAATGTTCCCGTATGAACTGGGGGTGTGGAGGAACTTCAGCCCACCACTGCTGCTCTCTTTAAAGGTCCCAGAGGGAGTGAACAGAACAGGCAATCATCAAGTGATCCTGCTCCTGTCACACATGTCCAACCCCTGACAAACAGAACCTAGGGACACCATTCCTACCCATCCCAGCTAATAAGCATTGATGGACCTAGTCTCCATAAATGTATCTAGTTCTTTTTTTGAACCCTGTTAAAGTCCTGGTCTTCACAACATCCTTTGGCAAGGAGTTCCACAGGTTGACTGTGCATTTTAGTGAAGAAATACTTCATTTTGTTTGTTTTGAACCAGCTACCTATAAATTTCATTTGGTGACCCCTAGTTCTTGTGTCATGGGAACAAGTAAATAACTTTTCCTAATCCAGTTTCTCATGATTTATAGACCTTTATCATATCCCCCCTTAGTCTCTTCTTTTCTAAGCTGAAAAGTCCCAGTCTTTTTAATCTCTTCATATGGCAGCCATTCCAAATCCTTACTCATTTTGTTGCCCTTTTCTGAACTTTTTCCAATGCTAGCATATCTTTTTTGAGATGGGGTGACCACATCTGTAAACAGTATTCATGATATGAGCATACCAAGGATTTATACAGAGGCAATAAATACATGCCATCACTCTGCAGAAGATTGACGCTGCTGCAATCTATCTTCCAGAGTTCAATTTAATGAGTCTAGTTAAGACTCTCTAACTCAAACTCAGAAGGTATCCTTGCCAGTGTCCTGTACTCCTCCTTT